ATAATTTTAGGACTCTTACTTTATTCCATATTCAAAACTTAACTCAAAATGGATTAAATTTCTAAACTTTAAAACATAAAGCTACAAAACTCTGGAGGAAAAGGTAGGGCAAAACTGTTACAACACTGGATTTGACAATTACTTTTTTGGCTATGACCTCAAAAGCACAGATAACAAAAACAAAAAATAGACAAATGAGACTACAGCGATCTTGGAAATTTCTAAGCATCCAAGGAAAAATAGGGTGAAAAGGCAACCATAGAAAGGGAGAAAACATTAACAAGCCATATATCTGAAAAAGGCACAGTATACAGAATATATAGAGAGCTCCTAAAACTCAACAACAAAAATCAAATAACTTAAATAATGAGCAACAGACTTTAGATATTTTTCCAAAGAAGATTATAGAGTCTTTTTTTTTTTTTTTTTGCGGTACAGGGAATCGAACTCACCACCTTGCGCTTGCCAGGCAGGCGCTGTGCTGCTAAGTTAAATCCCCAGCCCCCAAAGAAGATTATATATGACCAGAAACATATGAAAAGACACCCAACATCTTTAATTATCAGAGAAATGCAAAGCAAAGCTACAAGGGAGGGCCAGGGATATAGCTCAGTGGCACAAGCACCTGCTTGGCAAGCGCAAGGTCCTGAGCTTGATTCCTGATACCAAAAAAAAAAAAAAAAAAAGGCTACAAAGGAATGTCTCCCAATACCCATGAGGATGGTCGCTAACATTTTTTTAAAAAACAACTTTGAAAACCCTTCAAGATAACAAGGGAGGGTGAGAATATGGAGAACTTGGTATCTCTGTATACTGGTGTTGGGAATGGAAAATGAAAAACAGTGTGGAAGCTCCTAAAAAGTTAAAAATGGAACTACCATATGATTTAGCATCTCACCTTTGGGTATATACCCAAAAGAATTGAAAGCAGAATTTCAAGGACATATTTACATACCAACGTTCATTGCAGAATTTTTCACAATAGCCAAGAGGTGGAAGCAACCCGAATGCTCAAGGATAAATGAATATATAAAGACAATGTGGTACATACACGTAATGGAATCGTGTTCATTTTTGAAAAAGAAGTCCTGTCACATGCCACAACACAGATGAAGCTTGAGGACATTATGCTCAGTGAAACAAGAAATGCTACGTGATTCTATTATATAAGGTATGTGACCAAATCAAACTGTTAGAAATAAAGTAGACTAGTGGTCATTCAGGACCAGGGGTAGGGTAGGGGAGTGAAGAGTTGTTCAATGGATATAGTTTTGCAAGATGAAAAAGTTATAAAGATCTGTTGTACCACAATGTAAATATAGTCAACAGTACCGAGATATACACTTAAAATGATTAGAGTGGGGTTGAGGATGTAGCTCAGTGCTGTAGTGCTTATCCAGCATATTGGACGTCCTATGTTCAGTGTCTAATACTACTGCAAAAAGAAAAATCTTTGTGCATATGTTTCCACCACCGTTTTTATAAAAAGCACCGTCGGTTCAGGTTAAACTCAGTTTATTCAAATTCTCCAGTTAATACAACTTGCCACAAAACAGTCTACCATCCAGTACCTGTGAAACTGATTCTTTCAAAATACTGAAATGGCGAATTTTTCAGTTATTGCTGTAAAAATTCAACAAATAAGCTTCAAGTCATCATTCTAAGTCTAAGCTAGCTTAGCACCCTGATGTCATTGACGAGTCTCTTTACATTACATGATGACCAACTTTACATTACTTGTAAGGTTTGTTTAACATACCTTCTGTGTCTTTACCCACGTCACAAAGAATAGGATGAGCTAAGGTTAAGGTCCTCACAAAGCTCTCCAGGCATTTTATTTTTACATATGTTTTTAATGCACCCATCCAATCAACCCAAATGTATATGTATCAATCTTTTATTTGTTATCTCCCATGTACCAAGCACCATGATTTGGTGCAAATGATATAAACACACACACATACATACACACACACCCTTAAAGTAGACCATAGTTCTATAGTTTAACAAGTTTATCATAAAAGAATAAAATGCCCCACTGTAAGCCAGACACACTGATCCATAAATGCTTACAAAAACAATTCCACGGCAAAAGTGAAGTCTATGTTCACCTCAAACCCAGGTAGTTTGACTTGTTTTTCCTAGGACTGCTGTTACAAAATTCCTATGAATACATTTAACTTCATATTTTCATAGCCTGACTGGCCTTAAACAATTTTGTAAATTTTTCCAATCATTAAACAACTTTTATGTTGAACTTAAATATGCAGTAAGGATTCTGTTTGGTTTATATTTGTATGATTTATTAAACCCATGGTTTTCATTACAGTAGGATTTAGAGGACTAATTATCTCTGAGTAATCATAGAGTACAAAGCAATTTAAATGTCATTCCTAGCACAGGTTAGAAGCAAATTTACTTATTAAATTATGAATGTTTTACTTTACACTGGCCATTGGATAATTAAAAAATGAACATGGCACTTAATTTCAAAGACATTAAAAAAACAGACATAATGGCAGTAGTTCTTCATCGACTTAGAACAGTTGGAATTAAGTTCATTTTCTTAAAAATCGAAAACCTCCTTTGTGTCTTGATTATTTTGGAGTCTCAGTTTTCAAATGTGGTTTTCAAGTCATTATTTCTATAATTTTCAAAAAGTTAGACTCTATTTTGAAGCTTAAGGAACATCTTTAGGATAGGAATTACTAACTTTTATTCTAAGAATGGATTTATTTTGTAAATTGGACAGTGTAGCCAGGAGTGGTGGCACATGCTTGTAATCCCAGTATTCAGGAGGCTGAGGCAGAAGGATGACTGCGAGTTCGAGACCAGCCTGGACTACAAAGTGAGCTCAAGGCCAGCCTGAACTGCATAGCAAAACCTTGTCTCAAAGAGAAATAAATAAATAAATAAATAAAAAATTGGACTGTGTAAATGCAACATTAAGTTGAACCATATATATTGAAATTTTTGTAGATAAAAATGATTCAAAATTAGCAACTTTATAAATTCAAATTAGTGAATATAGGCAACATAGGATAGATTTTTTTAAAAAATAGAAATTAATTTTTTAAAAATATGGAGTTTAAAACATGACATTTGGGATAAACATTAAAATCCATAATCCTGCCACATAAATACAAACTCCATCATCATTTCTGTACATCTCGTCCATGATTTCTTTTTGTGCATATTTTACACGGTTGTAGTCATAGCATATATAAATATTTACATATACAAAATTTTAAATTTGCATCATTTATACTTTAGTGTGTGATGTTTATATTTTTAATTTTAAATAATTGCCTAATCCACCAATTGAACATACTGTAATTTACTTACTAATTTCCATATTGAACAGTTAGGTTGCTTCCAGTTTTTTGATATTGCAAATGGTGTTGTGATGAGCATGTTTTGAATTGCTAAAAAAATCTGGCTTATATTTATATAATACCATTAAAATATCTATATTCCTGTATTTTTCCACTGTTTGAATTTTTTAATTAAGTAAATTATGATGAACACTCTTAGTACATTAGGAGAGAGATATTCCATAAGTTTTCTCTGTAATTTACCACTACCACTCAAAGCTGATTTCCTTTATAATCATTAATTCATAATGCCAACATAATAATTCTCAGACTTGCAATGTACTCTCAAATTTTCCACTGAACTCATAATTAAAATGTCAGGATGCATTGCCATTCTTGAAAACAATTTTTTCCTTCTGATGATTGACTCAAAACTCTAGTTTATAAATCTTAATTCTCATATCTACTTCAGCAGTGAAACAAATTCTCAAGGGAAGAAATAAAGTAAGAGTTTAAAAACAGTTCTTATTTGCTTGATTTGGATGACAGGGTTAGATATTATTGCTTTAATTATTATTGTTGTTGTTGAGACAGAGTTTTGTTAGCTCACAATTTATAACTCATAATCCTTAGCTCACAATCTTCCTGCCTCAGCCTCCTACATTGCTAGGATTGCTAGTGTGTGTTATCATGCCCTGCATAATTTTTCTTTCCTTAGACCCTTAAAAATAAATGTCTGGAATGTGATGCAGCTAAGAGTTTAAATTTTTCTACTAGACTATTGATAAGTTACTGTTTGTGAATTTTAGAGTTTCATCTTGGTCCTGTCCCAATTTTGCACTCTCAGTAATGAGAGAGGAAAAGACTGCTGAGTACAGTGTAAACTTCAGGTACCCATCAGTGTGACCTGCTCGCCTCTTCTTGGTCTTACTTCCTTACCTGTCCATAGTCAACCAGTTAACCTGAATTCTGGGATTCATGATTCATTTGAAATACTATTCACTATTATTCTACCTGCAAAGGGCTGTAACAACAAATATTAGGAAGTGGGTAATATACACTCCCGTTTGTTTTATTTACTCTAGATTGGTAGCGGTAGAAATGCCTGACATCGTCTCTCACCCATCCTCTTTCCTCATTCTTGACACTGGTGCTCAGTAATTGCCAATACCTACACAGCCCACAAGCACACACCATCCAGAATTAGAATAAACCATTCCCTTGAGACTGGGCCAGTCTACTTCATGCCCATGCTCATATTTCATATGAGAAGAGAACATTCAGTTTGCTGTGTCTTTGGATGCCTTCTCTATGTAGGGTAAGATGTGTATCAAGGAAAGTTGTGCCTTTGCATTTTACATTTTCCCCTAGTATAACAAAGGGCTAAATTCTTCCAAAAACACATCCTGGGGCTGAAAATGTTTTTGTTAGCAGTTATGCAACTTTGTGAAAAACCATGGTTTTCTTCAAATTGAATATTCTATAAATTGAAGACATTAGTCATAGCTGGTGCTCTTTCCCCCATCCCATTTGAAGCACACGCTTTAATACTTTTTCCAGGTCAGATCTTAAGGGGTATATTAAAATATTGGAGAAGAAATACTACATGTAAAACAAAACAGGTCAGACAGATAATATTTTAAAAAGCATATGCATCAGAAGGAAAGGAAATAGCAGCATCATTTTCTCACATCAACCCGCAGGGACGGAGGTATAATGTAACAGAATGCAGTACGGTGCAGTACACATTCGTGCACGCAACATACACTGATTGAACATTTGCCTGGGTCTCAGACCACAACCATCTTAGTCGGAGATAGAAAAGAGATGAAGACCTCCCTCATTGCCCTCCCAAATGTTTATAGCACCTTTGGGGAGGTAACACAAGAATGAAAGGTTTATTTATAATGTGGGACACTGAATTTGTGGCACAAGATAATCGCATTTGAAGAACCCATGAGAGAATAGTTTTGGAAGGCTGCAGAGAAGCAGCGAGGCATAGGCTGGGTCTCCGAAGATGCACAGGGGTTGGCCAGCTGGGGAAGCACCAGGGAGGACACCCCAGCCTGACAGCTCTTGAGAAAAGTCACGGTTGTATAACTTGCCCCATGGACGGTGAGGAAACAGCCTGGGTGAGTAGATCTAAGTCATGGAAACTTAGACTCGAACTGGATTTAGGGGTAGGGAGAGACAGGAAAGTCAATGGACCTTTTATTGCTACCCACTATTTGCCAGTCTCCTTATTTATCTCATTAAATACTTTCAACAACTTGATTTTTCAGGTTTACCGATGAGAAAGGGGAGGCTTGGACACGTCATGTGATTTGACAAGGGTCTTAAGTCTAGTGGTTGACAACACCAGGATTCAAACCTCCTAGGTCTGTCCGCGCATTCTTAGTGCTTTTCTACTATACAGGGTTCTTTAAGAGCCTTGCAGAGGAACTTGAACTTGGTACTGTACAAAACTCAGAACAGCTAAAAATGCTTAAAGCCCAAAGACTTAAATTATTTTTGTGGGGTGTCAGCACACAGTAGAGTTTAGAAAGAGCTAAGACTGGGGATTATTTTAAATATCATTTTTAAATTCTAGAACAATGCCATGCATGTAGTTGTAGCTTGATAAGTATTTGTTTAGGTAAAAAAAGACCACAGGAGTAGAATCCAAAAGAAGCGAGTTCTAGCCCTGGTCTGGCACCAACTAGTTTTGCAAGCATGATCAAACGGGGTTATAGCCCCGTGACCTTGAGAGAAGCTCCCTTCATTTTTCTGAGCTCAGTTGCCTTATTGCAAACATGAGGATCAAAGGCTTCTTACGCGGTCTACATGGAGAGGATGGATACATTATCATTAAATTCTGCCTGGCTCAATAAGCTGTCATTATTATTAAGGAGAAAAATCCATGAATTATTTTAATCAATTCATAGAACCAAAGGGGAATAACAATTTTCCATTTTAAGGTCACATTAGTGTGTGGATTTTGGTAGGTAAACCCACTGAGAAAAGGGGAAGAGAATTGGTGGGAATGATGAGCACACTCTTTTGAAGGTTTATCAAATGGCCTGTAGCATAAATGCCGGGCGAGTGTGGGACTGAAGTCACTAGACCTAGCCAGGCCTGGTGACTCGTCCTATGAGTGCCTCAAGCTCTAACAGTCTGAGATCCTAAACAAAGATAAAATAATTACTGCGCTAAAATGCCTTAACTGCCTTAGAATCTCGATGTTTGTGATGATAGAAAAGTTGAAGTTCAGAGTGCTTAGGTTTTATTCGCTAGATAGTTTCACATAACATTTTAGCTTAGTTTTATAGAACATAGTCCTAGTTTAATCGTGTTCTGAAAAACTGTCTGGTCTCTATGGAATTGTACTGCCTAAACCTTATGTCAATAAATATTGCAGAGGAGGATGAATAATGGATCTTTTTGTCTGATGATCATATTTATAGGCATCATCTGGTCTTATTTGCTGAAGACTGGTATTTTGAAACCACGAGACAGCATTGGTTCATTTTTTTTCCTAATTAAGAAAAATAGCTGACCCCTTACAATAAAAGGACAGTAAGAATCTCCTTTATGTCTACAGTGCTTTCCTGCTGTTGCTTTTTTTTGTTCTATATTAAAGCAGCTGCAATACTCTGCACATAAAAAAGGAATCTTCCATGGTTAAATATTCATGGCCACTTCCTATTCAATGTGTGCTTTATTATTCTTAGCAAATAAACTATCTAATGATTCATTTAACCCACTTTATGAACTTCCAGGATCTAATTTTTATCTATCACTGACAGATTTCTCTTCTTTCTTAGAAAGAAAACATGACTCTTGCTTTCCTGTGGAAAAGCTCCTACAGGGTCCCACATGCTTGCTTTTTAGGGTCTCCAGTCTCAGCACTGATAAAGTTCTTCATTCTATTGATGAAGACCAAAGAGAACAGACGCAGAACTCCTCTTCCCTGGGAGTAGACTCTCTTCACAACCCACAGAGGGGTTCTCAGGGATTGGCCAGGGAACCGTTCTGCTCACCAGCTTTCTGTTTGGTTGTTATGAAAAGGGTGGCATCATTCTCTTAGCAAAGCAAAGAGAAAAAAGAAGCCAAAAGAAGGAGAGAAATGTTTCCTAAAATGTCTTTGCCTTTCGGCCCAGCAGGGCTGACTTTACAAATATGTGACCCGCGTGGGTCTCAGAAGCAACACAGAAGGGCCTCACAACGGAGTTACTACTCTGCTGTCAAAAGTTCTTGATAACTTTTGAACAGGAGGCTTCGCATTTTCATTTTGCATAAATTATGTAGCTGATCCCATAGCTTAGTGAAAGATTCTCCCTCTCTCTCCCTCCCTCCCTCCCTCCTTCCCTCTCCCTCCCTCCCTCCCTCTCTCTCCCTCCCTCCCTTCTTCCCTCTCTCTCTCTGTCTGTCTGCAAAAGGCTTATTATATCAAGCTGGCCAAAAAAAAAAAAAAAAAAAAAAAAAGAAGGTAACACCATTAAGGAACCAAAAAAGGTAGATGAGGGAACAGGAAACATTTCAATGGTAATGTTTCTTTTGTGCGACTCATTCTCAAGGAAAACAGAAATTGGATAGAAAGAGAAACTGGGTATTTGATACCTCTTCTCGCTTTTAAAAACAATTGACAAATAATAATTTGTCATTTATGGGGAACAATGTGTTTCTATACATGCCTCATGTATGCTTTTCTACAAATTCTATTCTTTTTTTCATCCTCCCTGCACCTACCTTCCTCTATGCTAGTAATCATTTGGATATAATCTGTAGCTTTGTTTATATAATTGACAATTGCTATTGATACCAAAGGTAAAGTATATTTTGTGGATAATTTTCAAACTAAGAGCTTTCTCATTATTTTCATTATAATAAAAATGTCTTCATTTATTTCTCAAGTCTAGAAATGAATGAAGACCAAACAAATGAAAACAGCAAAGGTCATGTATTCTGTGCTTGCTGGAGCAAGGAAGTCATCAACTACACGTGCTTTGGCAGAGATTCAGAGGCCAGCAGAGCAATGGAAAAAGAACCTTCAGGTGTCCCTGAGAGGAGGCTGCTGGCCTGGGAAAGCGGGAGGCCAGGTGGCTAGAAAAAGGACGTCCCGTGTGATTGGACAGGGGTGCGTATTTGGCTTTCTCTAGTTGGTCCTAAGTCGGAAGTGGGAACAAAGATGAGGGAAGTTGTCATTTAGAGTACTTATCAAGTCCTGGCATATTGGGCTGATTGTCCCAGAAGTTGTTCTGCTGATTGTCGCTAGCGCAACAGACTGACTTCCTTCCAATTCAACTTAAAGCACGCTGGCTTCCTAGGCTGTTTATTATAGATGTGGGGTTGATTTCCTGGACACGTTGCTGCAGGATGTAGGGTGAAGTTCTGTTTTTATAAGCGATCTGGACATTGTCCATTTGTACACAGAGATTTGGTGATCTGGGTACAACAAATTCTGCATTTCTCATGATGCCTTAACAACAGATTTTCTTCCAGGCCAGTCTGTTTAGCAATCATTTTCCACACTAAATGTACCAGAAAGTGTATTCTTTACATAGTTTTGCTGAAGAGCCATTGTTAGGCAATTCATTTTGAGAGTTGATGTGTTAAGAATAGAAAATAACTTAATTTAAACCAGGCCTCTAACTGTTGTTTTGTTGTGGTTCTGCTTCAGTGAAAACAATATGTAGCTTTCACTTTTTCTTTGTATGTCTAAATTTCAGGCTCATCTAAACTTTCATGGAATAATTCCTGACCTTCAAGAAGGGAAGAGGGCATGGCCAAGAATACTTTTGGGATATAATGCTTTTAGTTACCGATTCTTACAAATAACTAGACATCATTTCCCCTGCTTGGATCTTGTCGACTACGAATGTTGTGTCCAGCAGTTTTTGTTCCACCATGATTCCACCTGACAGACAAGGATTTCTGGTTGACAGTTGTTATAACAATATCTGACAAGTTTAAAGTCCTAACTGAATTTGTAATGCTTCCCCTTCTCCACTCAGGTTAAAAAGTATCTTTCACTAATATTAATTTCATCGGTAACATGAATTAAAAGTTCCATGGCTGCACTATGAAATAAAGCTAGTAGAAATCATTGTCATTATTGAGACACTGAATAACACTTAATACAATACCAAAATGTTTAACAACATATCTAACTCTCAGTCACCAGGAGCGTATGGTTTTCTCTCTTTCACTGTACTTTTGTTGGAGCCAGTCAGGATGCAGTTGCAACGAGCTTTTCCCTACCTTTATCCCAGCTGCTCAGAAGTATTTCTGAAAATATCCTTGTCATTATGTCCTTCAAGGCCTCATCCTTCAAGAGACATAATAAGCACAAGTAAAATGTGTCAGTCCCTTCCTATGTCACCTGTCCACTCACAGGTAGGATCTATCATTTTGACATGTAAATACCACTACTGAGAAGATTAAGCACCTTGTGCTCAAGATAGCATCACCATCAGAAAGTACTGACCAATGACTTTGGGACCCGGGGGCCCCACCTTAACTCTTAACCATTAGACTCTTCCGCAAAATACAAAGGGCGTACGTTCAGCATCAGACTGCCATGGAGTGGAACTATCTCTGTCACTTATTAGATATGTGGCCTTGGGCCACTTAACTCCTACAGGACTCAACATTTTATAGGTAAAAATGTGGATTGTTTGAGGGTTGGGTGATGTAAGAGTAACTGAGATTGAGCTGGTGCCATGTGCACTATTCCAGGCTTTATGAGTATAAACCATAGCTGTATGAGGGAGGTGTATTTACTATCTCCATTTTGCAGAGGAGAAACTGTAGCATGGAGGAGTTATCCAAACGCTGGCACTAAAGAGCAGAGCTGGGATCACGCAAGGCAGATCAGGCTCTTCATTGCTACACAAGACAATTTTCATTAAGTGCCTAGCACCAAATCTGAAACAGAGTGGGTTTCAATAAACGATAGCTAAGTAGACAAAATAATTCAGACTAGTTCTCAAGATTGTCAGTCAGCTACAGCCGCCTTCCCCCATCAACACCTCAGCCTCTCCAGATTCACCTCTCTAATCTTGACAGGTCAGAAAACAAGGTGGGAAGAGAAAATTATTTGAGACCACACCTGGGTACTGGTTCTCTAACTTGAGAGCTAGGTGAGTGCCACCAAGTATATAGTCTTTGAATCTTACCTTCCTTGCCCATAAAATGGGGATTATGTCTTTCTTATCTATTTGACAAGGTAATTAGGAAGGTTAGATGCATTCTCATTTATGCAAATGCCTTGAAAACATAGAAGTGGTATTGATTTGTTGGCTCTGGGGAAGTAGTTTTGAAACTCTTCATCAAAGTGTGTGTGCTGGAGGGGATTCCAAGAAGCCCCCTGGAGGAGCTGAGGCGAAACCGAGGCTTGAGGGTGGCAGAGCGTGAGCAGGTAAACAAGGCACCAGACAGAAGCAATGGTATCAATAAGGCCACAGGGGTGGGGGGACGGAAGCAGCAGGCTGAGCTCAAAGAACCACTAGCACTTACGTGTTCTTCAGGCTGAAAGTGAGATGGGGTCAGGTGAGAGGACGCTGGTAGGCTCAACCAGGAAGTTTGAACTTTTATGGCTCTGGAGCCATCAGAGTAATGGGCAGATTTAGGCAATGAACAGTGCAGTAAATAAGTACAGTAAAAAGACTGCTTTCATGCAAAGATGAAAATGAAATGGAGAGAAACAAGAGTGCAGCTAAGAGCATGGTCTTCACCAGGACAAACACGAGGGTGGGGAGGAGGGCGCTGTCAATCCATTAGAAGACAAAATTAGCCGCACTTAACGATGAGTAATTAGTATCTTTGGATAATAAAAATTGATGAGTTTGATGATTGATTCTTGGCAGAATGCTGTAGCCAATTTTTAGAAATGGTAAGTGAGCATTTAATTTAGAAGTTGAAGTGGTAGATTAATTTAGCGTCAGAATAAGTTGACTGTGAACAAATCATACCAAATGTGTGCCATTTCCTTCTTTATAGAATGGTTATTTTTCCATTATAAAATAATAACTGCTAGTTACAGAAAATTTGAAAAATATAAGAAGCTGGGGTTGGTAGGAAAAAGTTCTGCTACCCATTTAATATCATTTTTCTGTCAGTGTTTTTTAAATGGTGTGAGCATTCCATTCACTAACAATGCAAGCTTCTTTCATTTCTTAATATCACACTTTAAATATTTACCTTGTTACCAAATCTTTGTAAATAGTATCATTTTAACAATCAGAGTCATATTTTCTGTGGATATGTTTTAATTAATATAATTGGATATATTTTGGATAGTGGATATTTTATTCCAGTCTTGGGACATATTAAAGAGTAATCTCACTGACATCTTTTATACAAAGAACTTTCCATAAATGGAACAGACTCCCTTGGGACAGATTTGTAAATATTTTTAAGCAGTACCAAAAGAAATGAGTAAGGGCTGGGGACTTAGCTCAGCGGCACAGCGCCTTTCTGGCAAGCACAAGGTCGTGTGTTTGATTCCTGGTACCGGAAGAAAAACAAAAAACAAAAAATAAAAGCAATGAGTATTTGCAGACTTTTATTACATATTGTCAGATGTCTTTCCAAAAAGATTGGAACAGTTTACAATGTCACTAGTAATATGGGGTGACCCGTTTTACAATATCTCTTCCTGCAGAGCATTATCATTAAAACAACTAACCAAAACCAAAACACTGTGCTGTCTTAATAAAATGCTTTTAATTTTCATTAAAAATATGAATAACATATACATATGGGGAAAAGCCAAATAGTATAGAAAGCATGCAACTTAAAAGAGCAAAACTCTCTCTCCTTCCACCAACCCCAAATTCCTCCTTCTCCAGAGCAACTACTGTAAAAACTTTCTTACACATATCCTTCTGAAAAAAATTCCTATTAACATCTTTGCAGACCAGCACTAGGTATTGTTTGTATCAGACTGTTCTGGTTCTTGGAAAATTTTCCATGTCAATGCATACATATACCTCTATTCCATGAACATAAAAGTTTTTTTTAACCAATTCTCTATGGATTGACATTTAGTTTCTTTTTAGGACTTTGCTATTATAAATAATGCTACAATGAATATCTTAAAATGAAGATAGTGGTGTATTTATGCAGGACAAACTCCTAGGTATAAAATCGTATTAAATTTTAGGTTTAAAAAAATCTTGGCCATATGAAACATCAATACAGTGTAAATGTTTTTTCCCTTCACACCTTCACTGAGAAAAACCTGGAGTTTTTGTCAGTCTAATGTAGGTTTTAAAATATCATCTATGTGAATTCATTCATAAATATTCATCAAGCCACTATTACATGCTCTAGATGCCTTGTTCTAGATACTTGGTATGCAAAGCTGAACGTGATGAAGGTCCCCACCCTGACGGCGGTAACATTCCAGCAGAATGAACAATTAACATGATCTGCAAACAGATCACCTAGAAAATCAGGAGATAAGTGCTGGGTGCCCCGGAACCTCTGCTTTGCTGCCTCAGAAACAGACTGTCCTGGCTACCAGGTGTTATGGCCTCACCAGGATGGGTTTAAGACAGTTCCTGCTTCTTTTTTTTTTTTTTTTTTGGTTTTTCTCCGGTACCGGGAACCGAACTCATGACCTTACGCTTGCCAGGCAGGCGCTTTGCCGCTGAGCTAAATCCCCAGCCCCAGTTCCTGCTTCTTTATTTCCCTGGTACTCTGAGTGGACAGGGCAGATGTAACATGATAGGCAAGTGCAGGCAAGGCAAACACTTATGGAGTATGATCAGTCATTGCTCTTCAGGCAGTAATGCAAAAATCACAGTAAAATTTATATACTCCTGAATAGTAGATTTAGGAGGAAAGTAGAGATTGCTTCCATATACAGAGAGTTGTCATATAGAAGAATGAGCATAAGTATTTTCAGAAGCTGTATAAAACACAGTCACATTCATCACACAGCCAACAAATATTTGAATACCTGATATATATGAGTCACTGTTCTAGGCATCGGGAATATAACAGTGAACTGGACACATAAATCCCTGATTAAAACTGGCATGTGTTGGGGAAGCAAATGATAAAAAGAATCACACACATATTTATAATCTAAAGTTTTTGATAGATGATGTGAAATAAAGTAAATCAGAACAAAAAATACAGGAAAACATGAAGCATGAGAGATAAAGCAGTTGGAGAATACTGCCTTGAGATGTTGCAATTTAAGTGGAAACTTGAATGGAGGGATGCAGCAAGCCCTGCAGAAGCCTGGGAGAAGAAATTCCAAGCAGAGATGAAAACCAGGTCAAAGCCCTTGAGGTGGGAATGCACACAGCGTGTTTGGGAAACACCAAGGAGCCAGAGAGCGGTGGGTAATGGGAAATGCAGGGAGAGAAATAGGCATGAGCAAGGTTTTAGTGCCTCAGAGGCCAAGATAAAGCATTTTGATTTATAAATGTCATAGTAGCGGGCTGGGGATTTAGCTCAGCAGCAAAGCGCCTGCCTGGCAAGTGCAAGGTTGTGAGTTTGGTTCCCGGTACCGGCAAAAAAAAAAAAAAAAAAAAAAAATGTCATAGTAAAACAATCAGAGGACCTTGAGCTGGAGAATGACATGATTTGGCTTACATTTTATAAGGAATATTTAAAGGGCTGCCATGCAGAAAATAGATCACAGGAAGGGCCAGATAGAACATAGGAAACTGTGCAAGAGGCTACCACCATGTTAGAGATGAGGATGGTAAACTCCAGTGACTATAGCTATCCAAATACAGAATAGTTTAGGTACTAAAGAAGAGGGTCAACATTGGAAGCAGTTTTATCTAGAACTTGGGCCAGCAATCTATGGTAGACAGGCCAAATATGGCCCACTGACTGTTTTTATAAATAAAGTTTTATTGAAATACAACCATTGGTTATTGTCCATGGCTGCTTTTGCAGTTACAGCAAAGCTGAATAGTTGTAATGAAGACCGTATAGCCTATCAAGCCTAAAATATTTATTATCTGACCCTTTACAGTAAAAGCTTACTGACCTATGATCCATATTTCCTAGGTTCTTCCTCTCTTCCTGAGTTTCTTCAATGCTATATATAATTATTTGCTTGACATTTTTGTGTAGTGT